ACCCCCCCCCCCCCGTGTGCAGTCCGTGATGAAGAGGTGGCTGCCCTTGTCCGAGGCCGTTCTTCGCATGGTGGTCGAGAGAGGGCCGTCTCCGGCGGAAGCTCAAACCACCAGGGTCGACGTTCTCTGGCCGCCGTCGGATGAGTCGTTACGGTTGACGGGGGCGGGGGGCGCAGAGGGCGGTGAAGAAGACAATGCAAGAATAATGTGAGGGCTTTCGTCATGTACACGTGCGTGTTTTTCTAACCTGCTGCAGGATGGGCTTCGTCGAGGATGCTATAGGATCAAACGTTTCGAGTGACTGCTGTACTGAGGCGGAGTTTGCGCCATCGGAAAGCAAGTTGTTTGTTTTGAGTGTATCGCTGTTTGTTTTTTTATTAAAACGCGTTCCGTGCGCCCGGGACTTCATTGTAGAATAAATACCAGAACTATGGTAGGCATTTCATTGCCCGGGAGACCAGCTGTCGACCATTTGAACGGATGCAGAAAGGGTTGCAGCTCTGTTGATAGAGGCCAGGTCATGCCCGGCTTGTCCAAAGTGGGATTGAACCCTTTTCAAGAAGACTAAAGCTACGACATATTCGTTAGCCAGCGGGGATAAAAAATGGAGCGTATGCTGGGCTTCCATAGGTGGCATCCTGTACATAAAACATCTTCACAAGTACAACGCGAAAACGAGACACAGCGATCAAACCCCCAAGTAGAATAACATACCTAGATTCCACACATGCCGCCTCAAAAAAACAAATTGTTTTATGTCAAAATGACTTGTCTACGGGCGTATGACAAAAGCGCGTTCATTCAACAACCCTTCCCCTCCCATAGGCACCAAGAAGCTTCCACACACAAACCGCCAACAACGAAAACATGACCGTCTACAGGATGACAAAAGTGCGGTGGCTAATCCCCTTCCTCCCGTGCACGTCAGGGCGGAGATGGATCGGGTGCGTCGAGCCGTAGCCGCCTGCGACGCTTCCCCGTCCGCTCCGGTGGTGATCTTTGTGTCCAAGATGATACCTGTCAAGAAGCGGGATATCACTGACGCCGACGGGAAGCTCTGGGAGCCACCGGCGGCGGCGGCGGCGGCGGCGGCGGCGGCGGCAGGACTGTCGGCGGGACTGTCAGAGAGCGGGACGGGGGGCGACGCGGAAGACGACCGGGACTCGCTGGCGTTCGTCGCGTTCGCCCGGGTTCTGAGCGGAACGGTTGCGCCGGACACCCCGCTTTTGGTGTGTGAGTCGGGGGGGGGTTGAGCGGCGTTGTGCGATGCTTGTTGTTGTTGTTTTGTTCTTGTTGTTGTTGTCTTCGCGTTAAGCAGCGTTCCGGTCTCTGCTATGTACCTGGCTTGCGTGCCGGTCCAACTGACGCGAATGTGTTTTGGCGATTTTCGACCGTGAGGGCTCCGTGACAAAAAAAAACTGGTATTATAGGGGACGTCCTTGGTTGTCGCTGTTGAAAAGTCGTGTGGGACACTCTCGATGAGACCACAGTATGTACAGTATTGGTGTTTGATACCCACATGATATTCGGTACTCGGTTGTGCTTGCTAGATACATCCGCGCGGTTTACCGTGGACAAGCAAACGGAAGGGGCCCGAGGGACAAGAATCCTTCAGGCTGACCCAACCATGTAGACGGTGTGGCTGTTGAGCGAGAGTAACAAGAACGGTCCAAAACTACGACCATCTATTGTTTAGCGGTCCGGTAGGTAGTTATCTAGCTGCTGCTGTTGCTGCCGTGTCCCAACCTCGCACCTCCTCCTCTTCCAAACAACAGGTGCTAGGCCCCAAGTACCACCCGCTGAAGCAGGGGGCGTGGACCCACGCATCCCCTCTAGGGAACGACTGGACCCCTCCCGACGCGGTGCGCGGGGACCCCGCCGGCGCCACCGGACAAAAAGACCGACCGCCAAACAGGCTCTTCACTCGCCGGAGGCGGCCAGGGGATGACGTCACCACACACGGCGAAATAGCCGCCGATTCGAACAGCAGCAACGACGACGACGGGGGGAGCGGGCGGCCGTCATCATGGAGGCAAGAGGGGCGCGGTATCGATGACAACCTGGCCCTGTTTATGATGATGGGGGCGGCGCTGCAGCCGGTGGCGAGGGTCCCCGCGGGGAACGTCCTCGCCCTGGCGGGGTTGGAAGGGAGGGTCAACAAGTGCGCCACCCTGAGCGACACGGCCGAGTGCCCGGCCATGCGCGCGGTGACCCTGCAGGCCAAGCCGATGGTGAGGGTGGCCGTGGAGGCGCTGCACCAGCAGGACATGGACAAGCTGGAGCTCGGGCTCAGCAGGCTCTACCAGGCGGACCCCGCCGTAGAGGTGTGTGTGTGTTTCGTTCTGTGTGCGCTTATTTTGCGTGTGTAAATTTAATTTGTACGTGTTAAATGTCCTTGTGTGTTCTGATAGTGTGTGTTTAGTACTAGCATCGACCGCGGTAACCGGTTGACCAACGAAAATTCGTCAGTTTCAGTGCGGCTGAAAATGTTTCTGACGGCGATGATCTGGGACCCCGTGAGGGGGCGTCATGGGGGAGGCTGTGTGTGTGTTTCGCATTGCCATCGACTCCGCTAACCGGCTGACGTGTTTGCGCGCGCAAGCCATGATAGGGGTGACGTGTAGTCTGAAACCACCCCCGACAACACACGAGCTTCCGGGTCATTTCTTGCGCCGGTGGTGTGACTGCGTCCATGATTACGTGCATTTTGTCGACCCCCTGGTTTTCTAACCCCCTTAGTTGGTATCCGCCGCCATATCAAAGTTTGTAAACATGACAACAACGCCGCTTTCCATTTCTAGGTGAGCGTCACGACGAGAGGAGAACACATCGTTTGCTGCCTGGGGGAGCTGCATCTGGAACAGAGCCTGGTTTTCTAACCCCCTTAGTTGGTATCCGCCGCCATATCAAAGTTTGTAAACATGACAACAACGCCACTTTCCATTTCTAGGTGAGCGTCACGACGAGAGGAGAACACATTGTTTGCTGCCTGGGGGAGCTGCATCTGGAACAGAGCCTGAAGGTGGGTGAGGGTTAGGGTTAGCCTAACCTTAGGTGGCGAAGAAACGCGGTTGATCCTGAATGAAGGGCCCGTGAGCTTTAGGCCAACCGGTTGGCTGGCTGAAGACTCAAGATTGGTCGATGTCGCAGTGCGTAAGTAAGGCTTGGGCCTCATGGTAAGAAGTGTCCAACCGTCATCGGATGTTTGTATGTGGATGGTCAATATAATACCAGGTAGTGTTTGATGTGCTTAACAATGGAAGAAAACGATGGCAGCAGCAGTAGCGTTGTCCTCGAATTTCTCAAATGCATTCATTAGCAAAACCTTTGTCTTGAACGTTTGGCGACCCGTTGGCGAAGGATTTGCGCGAGAGGTACGCCTGTGTCGAGCTCAAGGCCTCCCTTCCCCTCGTACCTTTCAGGGAGACCATCGTCGCCCCGGGCCAGGTGAGAATGGCTGCAAGTAGAAATTACCTCATGGTGTATATGCCACTTCAATACGACTTGTGCTTCTTTTTTTTGCTTAGGTGATTTTTCGGGGATATTGCAGGATTGTGGCCCATGGTCCATGCAAGGACTGTTGGGCGATTGAGTCGCAGCGGCGGTGTGGAAACGCTGCGTCCAAGAGTGTGCGTGTGCGTGTGCTCCAGGAGACTAAATTTCTGCCCCCATACCGGAGATAGCAACGAGAAATGCCTTCACGAAACACTGCCGTGGTAAGGCAGACTGTTGGCAACGCTACCAATTAAATAACTTCACCGTTCTATCCTCTAGCTTCGAATAAACGCGATGGTTCAAGTCAACGTGTGGGGAAGAGGACTGTATCATCCGACGACCGACCGCAAGCCTCATGTTCCTCGTACGTGTCCAACACCCATCCCGATCAACTAGATATCGTTCGCGTGGTCAACGTGGTAGGAAGAGACATGGACCCTTCACCGTGAGGCACTGTCCCTGTCCTTCACCAAACCAACGCCCTGTCATACTTGGTCTTCTGTAAGCCGGGAAAAGTCGAGTCAGAAAACAACTGTATTGCCGCCAACCAACACGACGACCGTCTTTAGCTCAAGGGAAGGGGGAGGGAGACATGCCACAATCATACTATCACTGATCATGCCCCCTACATCGCGTCCAATACCTGCTGCATCCCTAATCCTGCCCAACACCACATCCAATTACCTTGACGCGCACACTGTTTCCAGGTGGTCGGGGAAGATGGCTCGATCATCCCCCCCCCGCAGCTCAAGATCGCGCCTTGGTCAGACGAGGAAGGGCTGAGCCTCACCGACTTCAAGACCGGGCGCGCTAGAGTTGTCACCCCCGATAAACGGGCGGCGCTGACGCTGAGGTGTTTGCCGCTTCCGGTGGACGTCGGGAAGCTCGTAGAGGCCCACCCGAACGAGGTGGGTGCGCACGCACGCTGGCGAGGGCTCCGCTACGGTAGCATGCGACGCGCATGGTGAACGTGCATGATGCATGGTGAACGTGCGAGCGTGGCGATGAACGTTAATGCATGATGAACGTGCAAGTGTGATGAACTTGCATGGGTGACCGTGTTGCAACAATGATCGAGCACGCCCGCTCATCTTGTGGCGCCCAGCCAACCCTAATCATGCTTGTCTTGCTCGCCTCAGGTACGTGTGCTTTCGGAAGAACTCGGAGCCGCCAGGATATCTCGGGCCGGCGAAGGCGTTGACCCTTTGGCGACAGGGGGACAAGCGGACCCGGCCGTTCTCAACGCCTCCGGTACCAGGTGCTATTGTCGCGTCTCTTGATTTGCATCTTCTTGGCTTCGCATGTGGCTTGGGATTGCTCCTCTGCTGTCGGTGTTGGTTTTGTCGATGTTCGCGCTGTTGTTTGTTGTTGTGACTGCGGCTGCGGCTACTGCTGCTGCTGCTGCTATTGTTGCTTGTTGCTGCCGCTGCTATTGTTGCTGCTGCTGTTGCTGTTGCTGCTGCTGTGCTGCTGTTTTGGTTGCTGTGGTTGCCGGAAGGCCACATTCCTTCCAACCCCGGGGCTCTCTCTTTCTTGATACCGCTTCCACGTTCTTGTATGCTGTGCCCCTCGACCAACCGTTTCACTCCAAGGCCGTCCTCCTTCCGGCAAGATCTTCTCCACGCCCTGAGGGAGGCGTCGCCCGACAGCGGGGGTACTACCGGCGGCAGTAGCGCAGTAGGTGGCGGGGGTGCCGGGTGGAACGAAGCGGGGGGGGAGGGTTTCCTTGCAAGGGCGTTGGCTTTCGGTCCGCGGGGCGTGGGGACCAACCTATTGGCCAGGTGCGGCGACGCCGTTGAGCGTGTGGTTTCATGCTCCGCCGCGATCTGTTGAGGGGTGTCTTTTAGTTGCGCTGCTGTTTGAGGTGCTCTGTCTGCCTCGTAGGCGCTCGTTCGCGCTACGAAGCGCGCGCGTGTGTTGTAGGTCTCTTCATGGTGCTTGAGACCTTCCGCCTCTGCCTTGAACTTTTGTTGCCTCCCGATCTAGAACATTGTGCCCCCCCCGCACTCGCATCAGACACTACCGGAGAGGTCGGAAATATGAAGCACAGCTAGGTTTTGCGTGTTTCCCCAGCACAACCAAGGTTTTGGCGACCTCTCCGGTTCCCAAATTAACCGTACACTTTCCGGCGTCAACTACATTATTTTTAACTTAGCGTTCCGATGTGTTCGAAACACCCTCAACCTGAACTAAGTCTTGCAAGCGTACACGTGCGTGCACAAGATGGACGTTCCCAAGCTTCGATTTTAGCTCAAGTCGCTGGGCGGGGCGCGCGTCATGTCATTTTTTTGGTGCTGCAGATGCGCTGGGGGGGTGGAGGTCAGGGTAGCCAAGGCAGGCAACAGCATCGAGGAAACTCCTACGAGTAAGGCCAACACCAAGAACGCTGGGGAGGCTGGCAGGGTCGGTACTGCTGCTACCGCTTCGGAGGACACGGCCACGGCGGCAAGCGAGGTGAAACGCATGTCCCATGTTGACCTGGAATGTTCATACGGCAGGGGTGAAAACGCATTTCAGAGCCAAGAACAGCCAAGCACAGCCAAAAGCCAAAATAAGAAAGTAAGCTGTTTGCTTTTTCCGTCCTGCCGCTTGTTTCTTGTTGTCTGTATTACCCTCACGAGTTTCGTTGCCCTATGACAGAACGGCTGTTCCGCGGTCCTGAAGAATGTTGGGAAGGGCTTCCCAAAGGTTGATGTCTTGTTGATAGTTTAGATTGGACCAAAAGCGATGCATAGCCAAAAGGGGTTGAAAGCACGCTGTTTACGTGTAGTTTCATACGCATGGATAGGTGAGAAATCGTCGAAAACTCAGGCCGCCGTGAAGAAATTGCGAGGATTCCCGAGGTAGTTTTGCCCTGCTCGCCGTCGTTTGTTAACTCTTCCTCTAGACACGCATCTCCCGCGTGCTTGCCTTCGGTGACGTATGATGCGTTGGCAGGTTCGACAAGCAAGCGAAGAAGAAGCGTCCGAGGCCCTAAGGCTCATCGAGAACAGCGTCATCACAGGATTTCAGGTGCCAGTCTCTTTTGCCACACGTTATTGATACGGTCGGAACGAACCTCTGATGAGGACACAGCATGCCGTATATGACACAAGATATCACACCCCCGGGACCGATTTTGAAAGCTCGATTACTCCACGACGAAGAGGATGCATAAACGAAACGATACATTTTCGAAAAGCTCTCGATGTGACGGTTCCAAAACCGCCGTTTTCGGCGCTGTGACTGTTTCGGCAGTTGAGAAATCGAGCTTCGAAAATCGGTCAAGGGGGTGTGTTATCTTGTGTCATATACGGTAATCCTTTCTCCGTAGCAGCTGAAGCAATACGAGGGGGACGAGCACCAGACCCCGCCTTGGCACAGCAAACGCAACGACGACGACCAGCTTCTGGTTTATCCTTCTGAAACGTACATGGCCTGGGCCGGCGAACACCCGGCATATCGCTCCGTTGAGGCATGCGAGGTCACTGGTCTAACGACTACGGCATGCGTTGACATGAGTACACCCGCCCAACAACGTAACCTGGGCCGACGAAACCCCGGCTAGCATGTCGCTCCGTGCCGGCATCGTAGGGATACGAGGCGATGGTCTAACGATTATGGCATATGCTTACGTGACCCCACACCCACACCCGTCGGGGAAGCGGCGGTGGGGGGGGGGGGGGGGG